CAGGAATGCTGGGTGTTCCCAAGAGAAAGTAGATGAAAGATCAGTTCTACAGTAAGAATTTCTTATTCTTTGATTAATTACTTTATATTCTGCTAGTGGAAAGTGACAGACAACTCTTTTCCCAACCCAGAGGTCATTAAGGTTTTCATGTGATGGAAAATTCATTTTTCAGCTAGCTCTGTTGGAGAGATGCAGAATCTGTTTCCTACATACAGCTGAATGTATCATCACAGAACATTTTTTGTTCTAAGAGAGGGAATTAGATTATAAAGAAAGCTTTGTCCAAAAGCACCTCAAGGATTCCCAGCATTTCCCACATCTCAAAATGGGCACTAACATGTGTTCTTACCTGTGCTCATTTGCTGGGACAGAGTTAAATTGAAATTAACTGAAGAAACTCCAACTGAATTCATGGCCAGAACAGTAATGGTGTGTGTGTGTTCAGTCCATGGAAATGAACAGGTAGTGCCACTGTCAACATACTCTGACCACGTGGTGTTTCCTGATGTCCGATGCTGTACAATGTACCGGCTCACGCTGCACAAGGAGTGACTCTTCACCAGTGGCTGCAGCAAACATGGGCATGAATTAACTTCCCAGAGTTTGATTTCAAAAGCGAACGTTATTTGGGCAGATGGCACTGTTCCAATGTTAAGAAAACATGACCCAGTAAAGATATTCTATAGGCTGTCTACTGTCCTTCTAGCAAAGGCTCTGTAGTCCATCTAAAAGCCTTGATTTCTTCTATCTCCCTCCCTGACAGCTGACACACTTCTTGCTGTCTTTCCTGAGGAGAAAAGGGGGAACAAGGAAATACAAACTTTCAGGCTGCTCTAGTAACTCCCTGTTTCATGTTAGTGTTTTTCAGGAGTGAAAAAGCAGCACAGATGACTGTTTGCATACTACACGTGGGCAAACAGGAGTGGGCAGTCACGGATGTGCTTTCTTCTCTGTCCTGTGTTAACCTTTTCACTGTGCCCAGTTTACGTGCAGTTCCAGTGGTGTTTGTACAGGCAGCTCCCTAGGAGTCAGTGGCACATTCTGCTCAGGGATCTCAGTCAGCAGAACTTGGCAGCTGAAGACTGCATCTCATTCTAAATTGCAGTCTGTGATTCTGTGTTACTCTTCTTTCAGAGTATTAAGAGCAAACTGCATTTTAAGTCTCTGTTTCATAGCATTTGTATAGCTAACACTGAAGGTTGAGGTCTCCATACAAAGGCAAGGAAGGTTGTAGGCTGCCTGGAGATCTGAGGGCTCTCCTGAAGTAGTAAGGACTGTAAGACATCAGGAACAATGGGATGTTCCCCATGGCTGTGATGCAGCCCCACATGCAGTTCAGCACGGCTGTGGTGCAGGCAACTAGACCTCAGATGGATCTACTCTACAAACATCAGTTCAGGAGGTTGGCCTGTGAGCTTCCCAAGCATGGAACATGCCTGCAGCCAGTGTATGTCTGTGCTGAGTCTTACCCATGTCACAACCACCCAGAGCAACCATGCAGCACTAGGAGAGTTCTTGTCCTACTACATTACTATGAACTTGGTAATGATTAGGGTGCAAAATCAACTCAACATGTGCCAGCAGGTGCAGAAGAGATTGAAGAGAATAAAAACAGAATGGGAGGAGGAAGTGATAGCAACAGAAGTGAGTTAAGTCCAGGACAAGCTCACTGAACAAAGACAACAAACCCATGTCCCATTGTATCACAGCGTTACAGTCAATATTCACCAGCAACCTCCACTTGTCTCCAGTATTAGCCAAGCAAGAGGCAATAACTCAAAAGAAGTCGTATCCCAAGTGCCTTGCACATGAAGCAGCCACTGCCCAGCTTTGCCTCCCAGGGAAGCATGTGCTTATCACACTCCCTTTCTGGCATTCTACCCATGGGTTTTGGAGCAAAGTGGAAGACCAAAATGGAGTTGTTCTCACCTTCCACAGGAGCGTGACATTCTTCTGCCTCTTTATGGGATCTTCAGTAATAATTCTCCAAAATTCAGGGCCTTGTAAGGGAGCTGCAGTTTTGAAAGAACAGTGTCACTCTTCAGTCTGAAGCTGCACACCCCCAAAGAGTGCACTCTGAAAGCACAAGTACCTTTGATATCTTTTACAAGGGTATAGGCTGATCTGCTCCAGTTGCTCCAGTAGCCTGATCCATCCAGCTCCCTGCACCGGACCTGAACAACATACTCAACACAGAGGTTCGGAACTTCTATCACAGCTGATCTTGTGGGTGCATTTGAAACTTCATAAAGCTGTAAGAGAAGTCAGAATAGGCTGAATAAGAACAAAAGGCTGTTTTAGCATCTGTTAGAGTCAAAATTCCTGAAAATGAATCCAATGAGAAAGTGAATTAATCAGTAACATAACAATTATAACCATGAGTCACTGCATGCCACAAATTCCACCTCAAACCAGTTAACCCACTCAATGACAACACTGCATCAACCCATGATCTAGATTAAAAGAGACAGTACCTCCCACATCATTTCCTCCCTGTTCACAGCATACCGAATCTGAAATTTCAGATCACTGTTTGCAAACAGAGGGTTTGTCCAGCTCACATTCAGCAGCCCAACATTCCTGGTGAGTTCCGCTCTAACACTGGAGGGAGGAAGCAGCTTCACTACAAAATGGAAAGAAAAAGAAAGGCTGTAAGGTCTGCACGGACATTGCTCATTAAATCCACTCATCATAGGTTATTTCCTTCTGCCCTGAGGGTGGCAGGTATGACATTGTGGCTTCTGCCATCCCAAGTAAAGCTTGACTAGAATGTAAATGTAACCATTCACCAACCCAGGCTGGCTGGACCATCCTCTGCAGACAGAGCGTTGCTGACTGAGAACGACAATGTTCATCTAATGGGAAATTCATTCCAATTTTGACCCAAAGGAAAATCACCAAAGGAAATCTTAAGTTGAAATCTCAAAATCAAAGTTTCTGAGTTTCTGACAGAATAAACATTTCATTTAATAAAAAATATGATGATCCATGGGCAAGTGTCAATACATTTCATTTTAATTTAAACCCCAATAGCTTCTATTGGTGCTAGTACCTTGTTCCTCCCCTGGTACAAACAGGAAATGATTATATATTTTTTTTATATATATATGTATATATATATATATGAAGCTTGTTTTGGCTCATCAAATGGCGAGTGAGGAGAAAATAACAAAACAAGTAAAACAAGCTTTCAGTGTTGGGTGGTGCTACAATGCGTCTGGTTTGGTTTATCATGGCACAGAGCACCTTTCACCAGTGTAGCTCAATTCTATTAACTGCTTTTTATTTAAAGTGATGACCTGAATAAACCAGACTCCTAAAGTTTTGCTTCAGCTCCTCACCGGGCAGCACTGTCCAAAGCCAGCACCTCCATCCAAAAGGGCACAGCCAAGCCTACCCCAGACTAACACTACAGCTGCTCCCCACATACATAATAGATGTGTTTTATTGTTCTGCTTTATTTCATGCAGCGCTTCTGTGCTCCAGCTGCCATGTTTTCTCTCTACATATTGTCCAATTTTGTGTCCAAAAAATACACAGCCCAATGAATGCTCTGAGTCACAGAGCAGATAATAAGTGTTTTTACATTTTGCAGTGCTTGAAAACACTCAAACACTGTCCCTGCCTCTTGCTTTTATAGATTTAAGTGCTCTGTGTCACAAGAGAAGCTTTGCAAAAGCATGCAAGAGCATGAACAGTCCCTATGATTTTAAACAAAAGGTAACTACTATGTAAGTAACACATATAGTGCTGTGTATCAAAGTATAAACTTAACAGCCACTTGAAAACTTCAGAAACATAAGATAACCAGAACCTTCAAAATGAGACTGTGTTTTCAAATACAATTCTTGCATTTTCTACAGATCTCTTTGCAAAACTCCCCACAGGATAAACACACAAAACTGGATGTTTCATGTTACAGGTATTAGCTGCAGCTACAATCTGCTCCTGTGCCAAGCAAAAGGTATGGAAATAACATTTAATCCACTGTCTTTTAGAAGACAATATCAAAGCTTTTATGTTCTTATGTTCTTTCCACAATCTAATTGAGTTAAAATGCTATGAAGAAGTACTTTACCTACACCATATAAGGAATGAAATCCAAGGTCACAAGTGAAGAAAGACGTGCACGAATCTGGACCTACCCACATCTGCTGGAACGACACAAGTTGGTGAGGATTCAAGTGTTCCTAGTAAGTGCTTAAATTCTATCCACATGGTATATCCAGATAAAAGAAAAATAGGCTGAAATGTGCACTCGTAAGAATGATTCTTCTGTAAATGACATTCCTTCACCTCTGATTTTGGAGATGTACTTGGAAAGTCAGAACAATAAATTCTGCTCCTTAAAAGAGAGAAAAACCACATTCAGTTAACACATTGCAACTATAAGCTGCTTGTGGCATCAATGAAATAGAACTCTGAAGGCAATTAAAACAAATGGTGTCACTGGAACCATCTGGGGTTTTCTGATGGTTATTTGGAAAGATCTTGAAATTGAATCTGCACAAAATGGAAAAACAGCATTGCAGTGTTCCTCCTCAAAGCTGTGGTTCTTAGCCTCAAAAAAGCAAAACATGAAGGCTTTCCCCTGTGCAAAATCTTCTGACAAGAGACTGAGTATAGAAGAAACAGGTATGACAAGCCCAGGCACCTCCAAATACTCATAAATCATAGAATCCCAGACTGGTTTGGTTTGGAAGGGACCTTAAACTTCACACAGTCCCACCCCCTGCCCCAGGCAGGGACACCTTCCACTAGAGCAGGTTGCTCCAAGCCCCTGTGTCCAACCTGGCCTTGAACACTGCCAGGGATGGGGCAGCCACAGCTTCTCTGGGCACCCTGTGCCAGCGCCTCAGCACTCTCATAGCTAAGAATTTTTTCCTAATGGCTAATCTAAATCTCCCTTAAATCTAAATCATGTTCCTTGGGTGCTGTGTATTAGCAATACACATAGCAAGGCAGATCTCCTGCTGACAATTTACTTCAGCTGAGAATACAGCTTTCAAAACACCAAAGGCCATCCAGGGGAAAGCTGCCACTTGGATCAGCCAGGCAGTGAAGTCTCCAGGAGATGGAAATCCCATAAAAAAATATCAGTTCTGGAGGGTGCTATTGAGATCCCACATACAGACAGTATCTCATCTGGCAACAGAAGAGAGGAGATCCAGACTCTGGGTAAAACAGCACCGACACCTTATCAGTGATGGAAAGTGTTCAAATTCCTCCTAATTTTTCCTAATCTTGTGGCCAGCTCAGACTTGTGGTGAGAGTGGCCGGATAGAGATTAGTTATCCAACTGAACCACAGAAGTTACACTTAGCTGAATCTCTTCCTGTCCACATAGCTAATAGTGATTAAACCGGTGCCTTGTGCTTTGAAGGCTCAGCTCAGCATTCCCTGGATTTACAGAATGATCATCTCTGCACTGTTTCTGTTGGCAACACTGGCTTTAGAGGAAGATGTAGTTACAACCCAACCAAAACAAGACCAAAGCTATGACAACCAAGAGCAAAGCTATCACACCAATGTACTGCAGAACACTGGATTTCATCTGCAGGATGTAATTGTATCAGGCACTAAGAAGAATAGCTGCAGGCTCCTGGAAAACCGGATGTGTCTGTGCTGATGTGACACATCTAACTTCCAGCTTTCACCAGGAGGACTTGCCTGTGTCTAAGCAAACACCACCAATTCCAACATACTTGTGGTGACTCCTACAGATAAGTTAGGTAATTAAAACCCCTATTTCATGTGGTTTCAAAATTCATATTCTTTTTCTGTATTTTTGTTCCCAATATGCAACAGATTGTTATACAAATGACAGTGGTGATCCTGCCCCTCTGCTGTGCTCTGGGGAGACCCCCCCTGCAGCCCTGATCCAGCTCTGGGGAACAGCACAAGAGGGACGTGGAGCTGCTGGAGCGAGGCCAGAGGAGGCCCCGGAGCTGCTGCGAGGGCTGGAGCAGCTCTGCTCTGGAGCCAGGCTGAGAGAGCTGGGCTGGGGCAGCTGGAGAAGAGAAGGCTCCTGAAGGGGACACCTTAGAGCAGCTCCAGGGCCTAAAGGGGCTCCAGGAAACCTGGAGAGGGGCCTCAGGCAAGGGCCTGTAGGGAGTTTTTCCCAGCTGGAACTCCAAAGGTATTAACTACATATATTGCCAACCATATGCTGGGCTGCATCCCCAGAGCCTGAGCAGCAGGTTGAGGGAGGGGATTCTGCGCCTCTGCTGTGCTCTGGCACACTGCCAGGTTGGACACAGGGGCTTGGAGCAACCTGCTCTAGTGGAAGGTGTCCCTGCCCGGGGCAGGGGTTGGAACTGAACGAGCTTTAAGGTCTCTTCCAACCCAAACCACTCTGGGATTTTATGATCCTGGTATTCTCACTAAGTATACATTTTTAAAAGTCTTATGCTTCAACTGTTTGGAAATCACTACATGAATGTGGTTGCCCATTATTTATTTGTTTTTATTTTTTCTCTTTCAGATCTCACTATCAACAAACAAAGACCAAGAAAGATGACAATAAACACGAGCATTTGGGAAGCATTTTCAGCCTGTATGAACGTTCACTGTTTGATCTAGCAGACTCTAACAAATGCACAAGGTATCACCTCCTACTAGCAAAGAACATTTTTAGTTAAACCTGAGCAAGTAAAAAGTGGGAAGAAAAACCTTGGCAAGAGCAGCATGGGTTTTATTTCAAGCTCCCTGCCCAGCTGCACACTCATTATATTCATATTTGTGAAGACAGTTTAAACAAAACCTACCTTAGCAGCCAGTTAGTCACTAATCCTGCCCTAGAAACCTGCACATGAAGTATCAGGCATTCTGGTTCTTACTTTAGTCCAGAAAATGCTGAGAAATATTCAGCTGGGTACTACAATAGTCCACCTCCAACAGAGAAAACAGTTCAGCTTCCCAAAGGATTAGAACCTCAGGGCTGATCTAAGCTTGTCTGCCAAAACTTTTGCATATCAGGCCCAGCAGAGCAGTAAAACTGAAGATATTTTCTCAGGAAGGGTTGTCTGTCTGTCTTGTTTATATAAAGGTTAACATGGTTCTAGAAAACTCTCAAGCCCAATACGTTAGTTAACTCAAAGGGATTTGTTTAGTTTCATGGTAAAACATCACTGTCAGAGGCAATATCTTTGCACATGAATGAAGATAAGGATGATCACAGCACTGATTTAGTAATCAGGTTTGTGTTTTGCAAGCAGGAATTTTTAGGAATGTGTTTGTTCCACACCCCAGTTCTCCTGCTCTCTCCAAGACAGGCAAAATTAAACCATCTACCTGAAAACTAAGAATTGCTCTGGCCACCAAAAATCCTACCTACTTTCATAAAGCAATATTCCTTTTATAAACTAAGATTTGATTCTCTCTTTCTATGCAAGACTTTTTCCATCCTGAATGAAAGAAGCTTGTTCACAGAATCTATGTTACACACTAGGGTATCTATGATCCCCCTTCTAAAAATGTATCATAGAATCCCAGACTGGTTTGGGTTGGAAGGGAGCTTAAAGCTCCTCCAGCTCTAACCCCCTGCCATGGGCAGGGACACCTTCCACTAGAGCAGGTTGCTCCAAGCCTGGCCTTGAACACTGTCAGTGTGCCAGAGCACAGCAGAGGCGCAGAATCCCCTCCCTCAACCTGCTGCTCAGGCTCTGGGGATGCAGCCCACCATATGGTTGGCAATATATGTAGTTAATACCTTTGGAGTTCCAGCTGGGAAAAACTCCAGCTTACAGACACTGAGGACATTTTATAATGACACCTATTCAGAATTCTTTGCTGTGATAGTATTTCCAGAGCAACATTTCCCATACATAATGAGTGCATTAAAAGCTGTACACACCTGTGGTATCTTAACTGCAAGGAACTCCCCAGGAGCATAGTGTTTGGGTTTGCAGACCATCTGCAAGTCATTTTAGTTAAGTACCCATCCGTTTCACAAGTGATATTAATATTCACATCTAATTAAAACACATGGAAAGTTGATATTAATAAAGATACAAATTGTTTATACAGAAAACATTCATTACAAGCACGAACTGCTCAATAAAATCTAACTGGAGTTTAGAAGGGAAATATTCCAACCTTACTATTAAAATGCAGTGAAATGATAATTCAAAATCAGCTGGAATCTTACCTACTACATATAATTCAGCGTATCTATGATGACATTCCCTATTTTGATGACAACAGTACAATGCGTTATAGAAGAAACTTCCTCTAGGTTTTGTTGCTTTCAAGTTGAAAAGAGTAACTTTGCTTACACGGTCATTCACAAGCGTATACTGACTTTGTGGGATTTCTTCTGCTAAGTTCAGCCACCAGACAATCTTCTTGGATGCTACAAGCTTGGTTTTGTTTTTATAGATGCAATGAAAGGAAACGTTAGAACCAACACTGGTCAGTAGCTTAGGAGGGAAGTACAGGACTTGAGCTACACAGAAGGGGGAAAAAAGGGGAAAAAATATCCATTGAGGTTAGAATCCAAACAAAAACACCCATAAAAAAGCATATGACAATGGAAAAATATTGTTATAATCCAGTTCTAAATTTCCTACTTCTTAATTACTATTAACAGCTACAGGGGAGAGAGGCAGGAATGAGCCTCTGACTGTCTCACTCCATAACTGACATTTGTAAATTCTGCTAAATATCTTTAATATCCCCAGGCAAACATGAATTAAATGAGCAGAAATCACTGGAGGCTCCAGTGAAAGCAATATACAGCAGCCCAAGGGAAACAGGGAACCACAGAGGCTCCTGTGAATTAAATCTCAGGAAACCAGATTAACACTGCTGCTTTCCACTCAGCCCGCTTAAGACACCACGTCAGCTTATTTAAACACTGCAGTAAGTACTTGCAAGCCAGAGAGGGTTTGCTTCCACCCCTCATCTCACAAAGACAGACACCACATAAAATCCTAAAATTGTTGTCAGGTAAAATTGAGAGAAGATCCAAATAAGAGAAGAGCAATGTTTGGGTTTGGAGGGGTGGCAGGGAAACACCATCTGACTCTCTGAACCCTGCAGGGTGTTGAAATCTCATTAATTGAAGCATTAGGTGAAACTGAAGCATGGAGAAGGCCTGGAGAGACCTTAGAGCAGTTCCCAGTACCTAAAGGGGCTCCAGGAAACCTGGAGAGGGGCTTTGGACAAGGGATGGAGGGACAGGCCAAGGGGAATGGCTTGAACCTGCCAGAGGGGAGATTGAGATGAGCTCTGAGGCAGAAGCTCTTCCCTGTGAGGGTGCTGAGGCACTGGCACAGGGTGCCCAGAGAAGCTGTGGCTGCCCCATCCCTGGCAGTGTTCAAGGCCAGCTTGGACACAGGGGCTTGGAGCAACCTGCTCTAGTGGAAGGTGGCCCTGCCCGTGGCAGGGGGTTCATAGATGCAGAAGGGGAAAGAACTTTCATGGGATTTTTCAGCTCAACTCATGCCTTCTGTACCCCACTCAAGACTCCAGAGGTCTCAACACTCAAGTATCCCACAGAACAAAACAAACTGGGAAGTGTGTTCTATTCCAGAATACTGCTTACTGCACGTAAGCAATGTGTGTGACCTACCTCCCAAATTGAGGTTATATGGTGTGCTCCAGTCACTCCAGAACCCAGGACCATGGTGATTCCTGCACCGCACTTGAACTAAATATGAAGATCCAAGCAGTGTATTGTCTATGGCCAGTGAGGTTTCCAGAGCAACCTGAACCATCTGTGGGATTATCAGAAGCCATTAGTGTTGTATAATGAAACAGGATAAAGACAGAGGGAACCAAAACAAACAGTCTAGAGAACAGGTTTTAGGTAGCAAGTTCATTTAAAAAAGCTTTTTTCTTTAAATTTATTGTATATTTTAATATAGTAGAGATTGTATGACTCCCTGGAAAACATGTTATTTCATTATCAACTCCTAATTAAGAGCTGCTTTTTATTCCAGAGCCAGTTGCATGGTAGCAACAGGAAAAAGCAATTCTCTAATAAAAGCTATAAATGCTAAACTTATCGTGG